TACCAATTGTTTTCTTGGTGACTGTGGTCCCAGCTGCCTGGAGATCATTGACAAGATCCTCACGTGTAGTTCTGGGATGATTCCTCACTGTTCCCATGATCATTGACACTCCACGAGGTGAGATCTTGCATGGTGCACCAGACCTAGGGAGACTGACACTTGTTTTTGTGTTTCTTCCATTTGTGAATGATTGCACCGACTGTTGTCACCTTCTCACCAAGCTGCTTGGCCATAGTTTGGTAGCCCAGTCCAGCCTTGTGTAGGTCTACCATCTTGTCCCTGACATCCTTGGACAGCTCTTTGGTCTTTGCCATGGTGGAGAGTTTGGAATCTGATGGTTTGATTGCTCCTGTGGACAGGTGTCTTTTATACAGTGTGGCGATCTGTCACAATATAAAAAGGATATTTCACCTGGGATTCTCAACAAGGCAGGTTGAGGGGCTCCATGGTACTTGTTTGATGTAGAGGAAAGTGGCGTTTCACTTTCCTCATGTCTTTGTAAAGTCCATTTTGGGACCTGGAGCCTGGAGATTTCAAAGTGATTTGGGAGGGATGAAATCTTAAATCCTGGGACCATATTTTGGGAATGGCCAGGATACTGATTGGTCAGGTGTGCATGGCTCTCTTCTAGAGTCAGGACCAGGGTTCTGGGCTCCACCCCGGCAGAGAGGAGGTCACTGCCTTGGAGTCAGGAGAGCTCCACCGAGGAGAGCTGGGAGCCGGAGCAGCAAGGACTAAAAGTCATTTTGGAAGGAGTCTGTAGGAGACAGCTGTGAGCCTAAAGTGGAAGGCCAGAGCAGCAGAAATCTGTGTACAAGCCAGGAGGCTGATTATTTGTTTCATTGGTTTGATGGTGGATACCCCTGCGTGGGAAGCATGTTGTGGAACGTTCTTTTAAATAAAATTGGGCTAAAAGGCTTTTAAAAAAGAATAAAGCGAATGGCTGTGTGCTGGAAAAAACTCTACCATTTGATGCTAGTTCTCACAACAGGTAACGCAATGAGATCAGCAGCACTCCCTTTAAGAGACTGCTTCTAATCTCAGCTTGTTACCTGTATGAGAGACACCTGGGAGCCAGAAATCCTGCTGAATGATAGGGGATCAAATCCTTCTTTCCCTCATGAACATGCAGATCCGTCATCATTTGTTAGACGCATTTCTGCTGAATTTGTTGTTGTATTCTGTCTCTCAGTGTTACACCGAACATTCCATTGTTAGACCGATCATTTCTGTGTGAGGGGCGAACATTCCATTGTTAGACCGATCATTTCTGTGTGAGGGGCGAACATTCAACATCAGCCGGGGAGTAAATACGCATTTCCTTCACTGTATGTAAACCTCCAAGTACAACCATCGGCACAGACGTCTACAAACCCCCCTCCAGCAGTTACAGAGTTAACCTTCAGGAACTGTAACTTGTAAGGGGTGATGGAGCCTCCAAATTGAGGCCATTTCACACATTATCCATCACGTCTTTCTGATGACACTTTAATTAAAGATCTGCTTTCCGAGGAGCCCGTGACTCACAGCGGTTGGCACAGCGCTGGCTCCCTATGTGCACAGAACAATTTATTTTATTTCAGATCAAATCCAGGAAAACTGCCCTGCCAGCTATCTCTACCACGTGACCGGAGCCGCTGACATGTATGTGACCGTGGGCTGTATTATACAACACGGCGAGAAGATGCGTCACCATTCCTGCCCACAGTACACAGCACTTGGAAAGCTGCCCTTGTAGCACCGAGGTCCTGGGCTCACCAAGAATGCTGTGTGCAAGGAGCTGCCAAATTCTCTGCTGGTGTGCATCCCTCCGGGTGTTCTCTTATTCCCACAACTAAAACATCATTCCTGGTTACTTTACTTCTAAATAAAACTGCTAGAGAAGGTGTGTGCAGGTGTGACATTAGAGTGTAAGCTCCTGTGCTACAGAGACTGATGTGACTGTGGGGGAGGGGACATTAGAGTGTAAGCTCCTGTGCGACAGAGACTGATGTGACTGTGTGGGGGAGGGGACATTAGAGTGTAAGCTCCTCTGGTACAGAGACTGATGTGGGGGAGGGGACATTAGAGTGTAAGCTCCTGTGCTACAGAGACTGATGTGACTGTGGGGGAGGGGACATTAGAGTGTAAGCTCCTGTGCTACAGAGACTGATGTGACTGTGGGGGAGGGGCCATGAGTGTAAGCTCCTCTGTGTACAGAGACTGATGTGACTGTGGGGGAGGGGACATTAGAGTGTAAGCTCCTCTGGTACAGAGACTGATGTGACTGTGGAGGAGGGGACATTAGAGTGGTAAGCTCCTGTGCTACAGAGACTGATGACTGTGGGGGGAGGGGACATTAGAGTGTAAGCTCCTCTGGTACAGAGACTGATGTGACTGTGGGGGGGGGGGGACATTAGAGTGTAAGCTCCTCTGGTACAGAGACTGATGGGACTGTGGGGGAGGGGACATTAGAGTGTAAGCTCCTCTGTACAGAGACTGATGTGACTGTGGGGGAGGGGACATTAGAGTGTAAGCTCCTCTGGTACAGAGACTGATGTGACTGTGGGGGGGGGGACATTAGAGTGTAAGCTCCTCTGGTACAGAGACTGATGTGTGACTGTGGGGGAGGGGACATTAGAGTGTAAGCTCCTCTGGTACAGAGACTGATGTGACTGGGGGGGAGGGGACATTAGAGTGTAAGCTCTCTGGTACAGAGACTGATGTGACTGTGGGGGAGGGGACATTAGAGTGTAAGCTCCTCTGGTACAGAGACTGATGTGACTGTGGGGGAGGGGACATTAGAGTGTAAGCTCCTCTGGTACAGAGACTGATGTGACTGTGGGGGAGGGGACATTAGAGTGTAAGCTCCTCTGTACAGAGACTGATGGGACTGTGGGGGGGGGACATTGGAGTGTAAGCTCCTCTGATGCAGAGACTGATGTGACTGTGGGGGGGGGGGGACATTAGAGTGTAAGCTCCTCTGGTACAGAGACTGATGTGACTGTGGGGGGAGGGGACATTAGAGTGTCAGCTCCTCTGGTACAGAGACTGATGTGACTGTGGGGGAGGGGGCAATAGAGTGTAAGCTCTTCTGGTACAAAGACTGATGTGCCTGGCTCAGTGTCCTCTGTACAGCGCTGTGGTATATGTCAGAGCTATACAATGTATGACTATGGGAGGACATTATTCCAATAGTTCGGTGAGCTTTGTCTTCAGCAGAGCCCCCCTCAGTATCGGCTCCCAGTAGATTGATGATTTACAGCTCAGGAAAGATTGTTAAATACGTTGTGGGCCGATCCGGGGCCAAAAAACAATGAGCGTTCAGTACGGGGAAGAGATGCAGAAATTGCACAGGAATTACATGGGAGCAATATTAAATATCTCCTGGAATGGCTCAGCCTCCTCATACTCAGCGCTTTCCTCTGGAATGTCTAAGCTCCCATTTTTTTTTCTTTAATAAATCTAAGGATCGGATTGTGTCCCCCCCCCCCCCCCCTATTAAATCCGCGCAGACAGACGGTAAATAGTACCGGACGGATAACCACGCGTCTTGCAGGTTCAGCGCGATGATGCTATGTGCAAAATCTGCCACGAGTTCCAAAAACATGGCTCCCGGAGCTGTTTTTCTTGGGCCACGGATTGCAGTTTTCGGTCTGATCATTCCAATGCAATATACGACACCACTGATACTTGATTCCCCCCCCCCCCCACCAAAAAAAAAGAGTAAAACTGTTTTCTGTGTGCACAGCTGCTCTTTCTACTTTGTCCAAAAGCAAATAATTGAGTCAGGGTGCGGCCTACAGACCCACGTGGGAGTAGTGGAAGAGGCAGGGAGGTGATGGTGTCAAACAACAGGACCCCGTTGGGCCCCTGGGGGGACGCAATAGAGCCGAGGAGGTCTGAAAACGAGGTGTAGGTGGATTTGGAGGCAGGTTCATGTCACCGTGACAAGGTTCTGTTCGCCTGTGACACCATCGAATTTATCTTGGATGTACATCTGCTTGATTCATTGCAGGGCTGATGGATTCCCACCTACAGCCGAGCCTCGGGATATTCTGGTGAACGTACATCAGTTGGCGGGCCCCGGAGCCAATGTCGTATAAAAACGGGTCATTTCAGGGTAATCTAGTGCATAAAAATGTCATGTCTGCAAAAGCTGCCATAAAAATAGATTATTCTGCAGCCGTTCCGTCTTCACCAGAGAGAGGATCTGTTGTGTTTTATGTAATGAAGAATCAGTCCTGAATGGTGACATTCCACGAGTCGCTCGTGTCGAGTTCCTGGCAGACCTTTCTTTCTGGTGTGGAAGGGTTAGAACCTCTCAGAGCTTTACAGCTGTTTGTAGGGGGGAGAGAAATAGTGCCCCATCATTGGTGTCAGTGGGAGGAATAGTGCCCCATCATTGGTGTCAGTGGGAGGAATAGTGCCCCATCATTGGTGTCAGTGGGGGAGGAATTATTATTATTATTATACAGTGGGAGGTATTTATAAAGCGCATCAATAGTTCGCTCAGCGTCTGTACACAGTATACAAAGGGGGACAGAGAACATGTGACAGAACAATACCAATACAATGCAAAACATGAGGGGATCGAGGGCCCTGCTCTTTCGAGCTTACAATCTAGGAGGGAGGGGATGGTGGTACAGGAGGAGATAGCTGTGGGGGATGGAGTGGTAAGAAGAGTGGAGGAGGTCGGCAAGTTAGCAGGGGGTGGGTAGGCTTCCCTGAAGAGATGGGGTTTTCAGGGTGCGCCTAAAGGAGAGGAGAGTAGGTGATAATCTGATGGGTTGGGGCAGGGAGTTCCAGAGGATGGGTGACACCCTGGAGAAGTCCTGGAGGCGGGCATGGGAGGAGGAGACCAGGGAACTAGAGAGAAGGAGGTCTTGTGAGGAGCGGAGTGTGCGTGTTGGGTGGTACTTGGATATTAGGTCAGTGATGTAGTTCGGGGCAGTATGGTGGACGGGCTTTGTACGTCAGTGTTAGGATTTTGAATTTGATCTGTTGGGCAATCGGAAGCCAGTGGAGGGATTGGCAGAGGGGGGTGGAGGACACTGAGTGGAGGCCAGTGGAGGGATTGGCAGAGGGGGGGGTGGAGGACACTGAGTGGAGGCCAGTGGAGGGATTGGCAGAGGGGGGTGGAGGGCACTGAGTGGAGGCCAGTGGATGGATTGGCAGAGGGGGGTGGAGGACACTGAGTGGAGGCCAGTGGAGGGATTGGCGGTGTGGCGGAGATGGAGCGGTTGGTAAGGTGAATGAGTCTGGCAGCCGTATTCGGATGGACTGAAGCGGGGATAGCCAGCGGCGAGGCAGGCCAGTGAGGAGGGAGTTGCAGTAGTCGAGTCGTGATATGATGAGGGAGTGGATGAGCTGTTTAGGGGTAGGAACGTGGGGTTGGCGAACGTGCGGATTTGGAGTCTGATGTTGCGGAGGTGGAGTCTGCATGTTGCGGAGGTGGAGTCTGCACGAGTTTGTTAAAGATTGGACTTGGGGCTGGAAGGATAGGTTGGAGTCCAGAATGACACCAAGTACTCTGGCCTGCAGAGCAGGTTTGATACTGGCGTTGTTGGATGTGATGTAGAAGTCAATGGGGGGTGGGGTTCGGGCTGGGGGGAAGACAAGGAGCTCTGTTTTGGAGAGATTCAGTTTAAGGAAGTGGAGTGACATCCAATCTGATATGTCGCTCAGTAGGTGTGTGATTTGGGCAGAGACCGAGGGGGTGAGGTGGGGGGTTGAGAGATAGATTTGTGTGTCGTCGGCATAGAGGTGGTAGTTGAAGCCGTGAGAGTGTATGAGTTGGCCGAGGGAGGAGGTGTAGATGGAGAAGAGAAGGGGCCCGAGGACGGAGCCTTGAGGGACCCCAACAGAGAGGGGGAGTGAGGGGGAGGTGGTAGCATTATAGGTAACGCTGAAAGAGCGTTGTGACAGGTAGGATGAGAGCCAGGAGAGAGCAGAATCTCTGAGGCCGAGGGAGTGTAGTATTTTGAGGAGGAGGGGGTGGTCAACTGTGTCGAAGGCCGCAGAGAGGTCAAGGAGTAGGAGCACTGAATAGTGGCCATTAGCTTTGGCGGTTAGAAAGTCGTTGGAGAGTTTGAGTAAGGGCAGTTTCGGTGGAGTGTAGGGGACGGAAGCCGGACTGTAGGGGATCGAGGAGGTTGTTGTCGTTGAGGTGAGAGCATAGGCGGGTGTAGACGAGGCGCTCGAGGAGTTTAGATGTAAGTGGGAGCAGGGAGATGGGTCTGAGGTTGTTCGGGTCATTGGGGTCCAGGGAGGGCTTTTTAAGTATGGGGGGTGATGTGTGCATGCTTCAGTGGGGAGGGGAAAGTGCCGGAGGAGAGGGAGAGATTAAAGATGTGGGTGAGGGAGCGTAGGATGGAGGGGGAGGGAGGTCGTAGGAATTGTGAGGGGATAGGGTCGAGGGGGCAGGTGGTGAGGCGGGCATCAGAGAGGATCTTGGAGACTTCCTCGATGGTAGTAAGGTCAAAGGTGTGGAGTGTTGGGGGAGCTTCAGTATGAGGAATGTAGGGTGGGGTGGAAGAGGAGGTCAGAGCAGTGGTGGGGCTGTGGGAGAGGGGTGATGAGGGGGTAGCTGAGTGAGGGGGAACGGGGTTGGAGGGAGTTTGAGCAGTGACGAAGTCCCTGCGGGTAATTATCGAGGGGGAGGGGGGATGAGGGGGTAGGCTGTGTGAGAGGGGACGGGTTGAGAGGGCGTTGTGAGTTGCGGCGATGTCCTTGCGAATTGTGTCAATCTTGTTTTTGAAGTGATTGGCAATCTCAAGGACAGTGAGTGAGGTGCTGGGTGGAGGTGGGGGTGGTGAGAGTAGAGAGTTGAAGGTGGAGAAGAGTCGGCGAGGATTGGGGGGAGGGCCTTGATGAGGGTCAGGAAGTAGGCTTGTTTGGCTGCATGGAGGGAGGAGGTGTAGGTGCGGAAGGCAGATTTGTAGCGGGTGAAGGCTTGTTGGGATTTGGTTTTGCGCCATAGTCGCTACAGGGCACGACTGTGTCGTTTGAGGGTTTTGGTGTGATCAGTCTGCCAGGGCTGGAGCGGTCGGAGTCTGATGTTGCGTGTGGTTAAAGGCGCTAGTGAGTCAAGGGCTTCTGACAGCGCATTGTTGTAGGCGGTCATAGCCAAGTCGGGGCAGGACAGGGGGAGGATGCGGTCGTGGAGTTGATCAGCTGCAGAGTGGAGGGGGGCAGGGTTAAGGTTGCGGAGGTTACTGCTGGTAGTAGTGTGACATTTGGAGGGGTAGGTGTTGGAGGACGAGGAGATAGAGAAGGTGATCAGGTATAGTGCCCATCATTGGTATCAGTGAGAGGAATAGTGCCCCATCATTGGTGTCAGTGGGAGGAATAGTGCCCCATCACTGGTGTCAGTGGGAGGAATAGTGTCCCGTCATTGGTGTCACTAGTGGGAGGAATAGTGTCCTGTCATTTGGTGACAGTGGAGGGAATAGTGCCCCATCATTGGTGACAGTGGAAGGAATAGTGCCCCTTCATTGGTGTCAGTGGGAGGAATAGTGCCCCATCATTGGTGTCAGTGGGAGGAATAGTGCCCCATCACTGGTGTCAGTGGGAGGAATAGTGCCCCATCACTGTGTCAGTGGGAGGAATAGTGCCCCATCAATTGGTGTCAGTGGGAGGAATAGTGCCCCGTCACTGGTGTCAGTGGGAGGAATAGTGCCCATCACTGGTGTCAGTGGGAGGAATAGTGCCCCATCATTGGTGTCAGTGGGAGGAATAGTGCCACAATCATTGTATCAGTGAGAGGAATAGTGCCTTCATCATTGGTGTCAGTGGGAGGAATAGTGCCTCATCATTGGGTGTCAGTGGGAGGAATAGTGCCTCATCATTGGTATCAGTGGGAGGAATAGTGCCCCATCATTGGTGTCAGTGGGAGGAATAGTGCCCCATCATTGGAGTCAGTGGGAGGAATAGTGCCCATCATTGGTGTGTCAGTGGGAGGAATAGTGCCCCATCATTGGTATCAGTGGGAGGAATAGTGCCCCATCATTGGTGTCAGTGGGAGGGAATAGTGCCCCATCACTGGTGTCAGTGGGAGGAATAGTGCCCCATCATTGGTATCAGTGGGAGGAATAGTGCCCCATCATTGGTGTCAGTGGGAGGAATAGCGCCCCATCATTGGTGTCAGTGGGAGAATAGTGCCCCATCATTGGTGTCAGTGGGAGGAATAGTGCTCCATCCTTGGTGTCAGTGGGGAGGAATAGCGTCCCATCATTGGTGTCAGTGGGAGGAATAGTGCTCCATCATTGGTATCAGTGTGAGGAATAGTGCTCCATTATTGGTATCAGTGGGAGGAATAGTGCCCCATCATTGGTGTCAGTGGGAGGAATAGTGCTCCATCCTTGGTGTCAGTGGGAGGAATAGTGTCCCGTCATTGTTGACAGCTGGGAGGAATAGTGCCCCATCATTGGTGTCAGTGGGAGGAATAGTGCCCCATCATTGGTGTCAGTGGGAGGAATAGTGCCCCATCATTGGTGTCAGTGGGAGGAATAGTGCCCCATCATTGGTGTCAGTGGGAGGAATAGCGCCCCATCATTGGTATCAGTGGGAGGAATAGTGCCCCATCATTGGTGTCAGTGGGAGGAATAGTGCCCCATCATTGGTATCAGTGGGAGAAACAGTGCCCCATCATTGGTGTCAGTGGGAGTAACGGTGCCCCATCATTGGTGTCAGTGGGAGCAACGGTGCCCCATCATTGGGGAGTCAGTGGCAGTAATGGTGCCTCAACATTGGTGTCAGTGGGAGGAATAGTGTCCCATCATTGGTATCAGTGGGAGGAATAGTGCCCCATCATTGGTGTCAGTGGGAGGAATAGTGTGTCCCCCATCATTGGTATCAGTGGGAGGAATAGTGTCCCATCATTGGTATCAGTGGGAGGAATAGTGCTCCATCATTGGTGTCAGTGGGAGGAATAGTGTCCTATCATTGGTGTCAGTGGGAGGAATAGTGTCCGATCATTGGTGTCAGTGGGAGGAATAGTGCCCCATCATTGGTGTCAGTGGGAGGAATAGTGCCCCATCATTGGTGTCAGTGGGAGGAATAGTGCTCCATCCTTGGTGTCAGTGGGAGGAATAGTGCCCCATCATTGGTGTCAGTGGGAGGAATAGTGTCCCATCACTGATGTCAATGGGAGGAATAGTGCCCCATCATTGGTGTCAGTGGGAGGAATTGTGACCCATCATTGGTGTCAGTGCATGAAAAAGTGCCTCAATGGCCAGATAAAGGCAAGCAAAGGACCATATCCAGCCCTCAGGCCGCAGTTTGGAGACCCCTGTACTAGACCACCACGGATTCCCTCACTTTGGAGGGAGTTTCCCTCACTTCCTGTTTTGGGTAGGGGATAGGAAGTGAAGGCAAATCCCCCCCGATGGGGGGGTACAGATAACAAAAAAACTAATAGGGGTTATAACCCTCCCTTGTTTTGTCCAAAATGGGGAGAAAAAGTTTTGACTCTGGTTCCACTTTAGGGAAGGGAATACAAAGTGGAATGCAAGCTGCTTCTCTTTAGCTAACCTGTAGACCTCTGAGAATCCTTTGTCATGCATCCATGTTTATTGTAATATAGAGTGTGTGGGTTATATACTGTGCACTAAATCCTCGGTTTTACCTTTTAAAGTGGAGTTCCACCCAAAAGTGGAAGCTCTGCTTGTCTGCCTCCTCCCCCCTCCCCCCCTACGCTGCCACATTAGGGAGAGTGCCTGGTTTTGTGGTTTTATCATTCACCTGATCCCACTTTGGCTCAGTTCACCATAGCGAACTAACCTGGACATTTCCCCCCTTTTCCCCCCCTTTTCCCCCCAGGCCTCTGGGACACTTCACAGATCCCAAAAGACTGCGGCTCATTTGCAAAGAGCAGCGCGCTTCGTGTATGTGCAGTAGGGAACCGGATGTGAAGCTGAAAGGCTTCACTGCTGGTTTCCCTTAGTCAAGATGGCCGCGCCAGCACCCGATAGCCGATTGAAGCATCAGCTCGAGGGTGAGGACACCGCTGGATGCCTGGACAGGTAAGTGCTCTAATAGTAAAAGTGAGCAGCTACAGTATTTGTAGCTGTTGACTTTGAATTTTTTTTTTGGTGGGGGGGTGAACTCTACTTTAAATAATCTCTAAAACAAAAGCTAGATATGTGCGTTTCATTACGAATCGATTTTCAGATGAAATTTTGATTTTCGGAGCTTCGGATGTACATGAATCTCCGAAGGGACATAGTAACGAACGTCAGCAAATCGGAAAAAATTTAACGAAATTAAATATTGCATTTGTTTATTTATATATTTTATTTGTTTATAACTGGATGGACTTTTGTCTTTTTTCAGCCAGACTAACTACGTAATGTCGGATGACGCCACAAGAGGTAGTTTGGGCTCATGGGGAAATTTTTGAATTTGTTCAATAATCCGAATTCAAGTAAAGTGTGATTTAAATTGAAGTTGTAATCGTCACAGTCAGTCAGTTCAGTCCCAAAGTCTAATGCAATTCTTGAAAAATTCGGGGGCCG